GAGAAGTAGAGAGAGTAGAGTAGAGATAGAGAGAGAGAGAGAGAGAGAGAGAGAGAGAGAGAGAGAGAGAGAGAAAGAGAATGAGAAAGAAAACGATCGAGACAGAGAAAGACAGAGAAAGAGAAAGAGGGGGAGGGAGTCCGTATTTGACTCGCAGCTTTTATTGCTTCAGCAGATCAAATAAATCTAATCACGAAACGATGGAAATCCTCTCTAGCTGTGTTATCTTTCTGAGACATTGAAGAAGTGGCTTTGGATGATCTAAGGGGGCTTTGGGGATCTAATGAGGCTTTGGGGATCTAACGTATCTAAGACCTTGGGATTTACAGAATGGGTCAGCTGATTCTGGGAACCAATCTGAATGAAGCAGAATCTACATAAGTGCTGCAAGTCAGGTTAGGGTTAGTGAAAGTGTAGGGGTGTGGTAGGTTAGGGCAAGTTAGGGAGAGTGTGGGGTGTGGTAGGTTAGGTTGGGTGAGGGAGAGTGTGGGGGTGTGGTAGGTTAGGGTGGGTGAGGGAGAGTAGGGAGGTGTGGTATGTTAGGGTTAGGGTTAGGGTTAGTGAGAGTTTTGGGGTGTGGTAGGCTAGGGTTAGGGTTAGGGTTAGGGTTATGGTTAAGGTTAGGGTTAGGGTTAGAATTAGGGTTATGGTTAAGGTTAGGGTGAGAGAGAGTGTGGGGACGTGGTATGTTTGGGTGAGTGAGGGAGTGTGTAAGGATATGGTATGTTAAGGTGGCGGTGGAGGGAGTGTGTAAGGATTATGGTACTGTTAAGGTGCTGAGGGTGTGTAGGATATGGTATGTTAAGGTGGGTGGCGGTGTGTGTGAAGGAATAATGGTATGCTTAGGTGGGTGAGGGGAAGTGTGGTAAGGGATGGTGTTTGGTCGTGAGTGAGGGAGAAAGGCTGTGTAAGGTATGGAGCTATGTTAAGGTGGCCAGCGTGTGAGGAGCTGTGTTAAGGATAGGGTATGGTTAACGGTGAGTGAAGCGCTGAGTGTAGTAGGTAGCGCGTCTATGGTGATGTTAAGGTTGAGGGAGGGGTGATGTAAAGAATGGTATGTTAAGGTGGGTGAGGTAAGTAGAGTGTGTAAGGATATGGTATGGTCTAATAAGGCTGGGTGACGGGAGTGTGTAGGATATGGTATTTAAGGTGGAGGTGAGGGAGTGAGTTGTAGGAGATGGTGGAAGGGGAGACGGTGAGGGGCGAGTGTGTAAGGAATAATTGGTCATTTAAGTGAGTAGAGAGGTGTTGTTAAGGAAGCTTATGGTATGGTTAGGTGTGGTGATGGGAGTGTGTAAGGATATGGTATGGTTTAAGGTGGGTGAAGGGAGTCAGCGTGAGTTTGTCAAGGATATGGTATTGTTAAAGGTGGGTGGGGAAGTGTGTGTCAAGGTATGGAGTTATGTTAAGGTGAGTGAAGCGGGAGCTTCGTGTGATAAGATATGCGGTATGATTAAGGTCGGGTGAGGAGAGTGGGCTCACTGCAAGGAAGCAGCTATGGTATGTTAAGGATGCAGCGGTGAGGTAGAAGCAGCAGCACAGAAGTGTGTAAGGAATATGGCATTATGATGTAAGGTGAGTGCGAGCTGAGAGGCAGTGGTAAGGATATGGTATGTTAAGGTGGGGGGGATGTGTGTAAGGCATATGGATATTGTTAACGGTGGGTGAGGGAGAGTGTGTAAGCGATATGGATATGTTTGGTGTGGTGGGGAGTGTGATAAGGATATGGTAGTGTTAAGTTTTGGTTGAGGTGAAGGGAGTGTGGGTAAGGATATAGGTTCTGTTTGGGCCTATGATAGAGCGCGCAAAGTGAGTGAGGAACACCTCGTGTGTAAGGAATATGCGTATGTTAAGGTGTGAGTGAGGCGGAGTGTGATAGGATATGGTATGTTTGGCGTGAGTGAGGGAGGGTCGTAAGGATCAAGTGGTTATTAAGGTGAGTGAGTCGGTGTGTGTAGGTGATGTCATGTTAGGTGGTGAGGGAGTTGTGTAAGGATATTGGTATGTTTGACGTAGTGAGGTGCGGGGAAAGGTGTGTCAAGGATATGGTGTATGTTAAGGTTGGGTGAGGGGTGTGTAAGGACTATTGGTATGTTAAGCTGTGGGTGAGGGAGTGTGTAAGGATATGGATATGTTAAGGTGGTGAGGGGTGTGTAGGATATGGCTATTCATGTTCATAGGTGCGTGTGAGGGAGTGTGTAAGGATATGGTATGTTAAGGTGGGTGAGGGAGTACGTGTGTAAGGATATGGTATGTTTGGGTGAGTGAGGGAGTGTGTAAGGATATGGTATGTTAAGGTGGGTGGTGAGGGGGGTAAGGATATGGTTATCGTTAGGTGTAGGGATGTGTTGTAAGGATATGGTATGTTAAGGTGGGTGAGGGAGTGTGTAAGGATATGGTATGTTAAGCTGTGATGTGAGGAGTGTGTAAGGATATGGTATGTATAGGTGGATGTGCGAGGAAGTGTTGATAAGGCTATGGTACTTTAGGTGGGTGAGGCGGGGTGTGTAGGAGTATGGTATCGTTTAAGGTTGATAGTGAGGGAGGTGCTGTAAGGATTATGGTATGTTAAGGAGCAGCAGGCGGGTGAGGGAGTGTTGAAGATATGGTATGTAAGGTGAGATGATGGGCAGTAGTGTAGGATTATGGTATGATTAGGTGGCAGCCAGGTAGCGGTGAGGGAGTGTGTAGGAGCTATGGTTATGTTTAAGAGTGGCGTGGGAGTGTGTAAAGGATATGGTATCTGTTAAGGGTGGTCGAGAGTGGTGAGTGTGTTAAGGAATGTATGGTCATGTTAAGGTGGGTGAGGAGTACGTGTATGTAAGGTATGGTATGTTAATGTGGGTCGAGGGAAGTGTGTAAGGATTGGGATGTTAGGTAGAGGGTGAGGGAGTCGATGTTGTGTAAGGATATGTATTTAAGGATGGGTGAGCGGAGTGTGTAAGGAAGGTATGGTATTGGTAAGAGTGCGTGAGGGACAATAGCCAGCAGTGTGTAAGGATATGGTATGTTAAGAGGTGGAGCGCCGTGAGGGGAGTGAGTAAGGATATTGGTATGTTAAGGTGCGTGTGAGGAGAGTGTTGTAAGGCAGAATCTGTATGTTAGGTGGTGAAGCGGAGTGGGTGATAAGGATATGGTATGTTTGGCGTGAGTGCAGGGGTGTGCTAAGGATATGGTATGTTAGGTGGGGTGAGGTAGTGTGTAATGATATGGCTAATGTTAAGGTTGGGTGAGGGGGTGGTGTAACGGGAATATGGATATAGTTTGGCGCTGTGAGTGGAGGGGGTGTGGTAAGGGATATGGTATGTTAAGGTGGGTGAGGGAGTGTGTAAGGATATGGTATGTTAAGGTGGGTGAGGGAGTGTGTAAGGATATGGTATGTTAAGGTGGGTGAGGGAGTGTGTAAGGATATGGTATGTTAAGGTGGAAGTGAGGCGACCAGTGATGTAAGGATTATGGTATGTTAAGGTGGAGTTGTGAGGGAGATGCTGTAAGATATGGTCATGTTGGAGACCGTGAGTGAGGGAGTGTGTAAGGATATCGGTATGTTATAAAGGTGAGGTGGAGGGATAGTGCTGTAATGATGTATGTTTGGTAGCAGCAGGCAGGTGATGTGGGGGTATGTGTTAAGGATATTGGTATGTATGCAAGGTGAGTTGGAGGGAGTGTGTAATGGATTATGGTATGATTAAGGTGCCGGTCGAGGGAGGGTGTAGGAATAATGGTATCGTAGGTGGGTGAGGAGTGAAGCAATGTAAGGAATATGGTATGCTACAGTACGAGTGAGGGAGTGTGTAAGGAATATGGTATGTTTAAGAGTGGTGGGTGGGGGAGTGTGTGTAAGGATAATGGATATGTTTGGAGTAAGTGAGTGAGGACGCGATTGATGTGTCAGTTAGATATGGCTATGTCTAAGTGGGTGGAAGGGAGTGTGGTAGGATTAGATATGGTTTTGGAGTGAGTGAGGGAAAGTGGTGTACAGCGATAATCGCTATGTTAAGGTGGGTGAGGGAGTGTGTAAGGATATGGTATGTTAAGGTGGGTGAGGGAGTGTATACGGGTGAACTACCGGAAACATCACGTCCTCTGGCAACTTATCTGGAATCTCTGGGATCTCTGGGATCTTTGGAATCTCTGGAATCTCTAGGAAATTTACGATCCTTGGGATCTCTGGGATCTTCTGCACTTACTCGATGACGTCTGTATGTATGTGTCCGTTGCACGCTGCGGCATACAGGCGAGTGTTCGGTTAGGGTGGGTGAGGGAGGGTGTAGGGGTGGACGGACTGACAACATGGCGCCCTCAGACAACTTATCTGCAATCTTTGCGATCTCTGGGATCTGTCTGCACTTACTCGATGACGTCGGTGTGTCCCTTGCTGGCTGCGGTGTGCAGCGGCGTGTTACGCTCTGCGTTCAGCAGCTGCAGGTCGTGATGCATCCTCTGCTGCTCGCGCACGTGCTGCTCGATGTAGCCTAGGTTACCCTCAGACGCCGCCTCGTGAAGCGTCAAGGCGGGCACAGGGGGCGCCACCGGCGCCGGTGATGATTGCGATTTCTTGGGCATGTCGGTCGGCGCGTTCGACGGTGGTTCACCGAGCAATCTATAGTAACAGTTAGTATACTTGTATTATATATGTAATATATGTATGTATGTATGTATGTATGTATGTATGTATGTATGTATGTATGTATGTATGTATGTATGTATGTATGTATGTATGTATGTATGTATGTATGTATGTATGTATGTATGTATGTATGTAAATATATATGTATATATATATATAGGGGTATGTGGGTATGTGTGTGTGTGTGTGTGTGTGTGTGTGTGTGTGTGTATTTGTGTGTGTGAGTGTGTGTGTACAAGCTGTAAGTGGTTAGGCCTCGTACACTGTCCACTGAATGCTGTGAGTTCAAACACCGGCCGGGGCAGTGAATTTTCTCAAGGTGTAAAAACCTGGCTCTCAACATTGGAGACTGTGAATCTCCCGTGGATTGGATGACTACGTAAAATGGCTGTCCCGTCTCCAGTAATACTAAGGTCAATGGGGACGTAAAAGAACCACTGAGGGCGCAAACAAACTCTGGCTGTGACCACCCACAGTGCCTTTCGGCAAAAAAAACTATACTACCTGGCTTTACCCAAGCTAGGTCACAACCCATGGCTAGCTATAGCCCAAGCTATGGCAATCAAGCAACAAGATTTCTCTGCGGCCGTCTCAGCTAAGCTGTGCCTTCGATCAACGGGATTTCTTGCCAAGGGACGCTATCCTGCGCCATATAGCGTCGTCATCGTAGGCGTAGCTTCGCAGTTTAATATATAGGGGCCTATATATATATATTCTGTGTAATGCCCGTTTCGGTCTCCTAGACAATTATTTGTACAAGCTGGTACGTGTAATTTGGTTACCGTATACTTGTAATTTTAAAATACAAGTCACCTGAATAGCTTACCTGTATGTTTGACAAGCGGAAACCTGGAGTACTCCTTCTTGTTTCCCCTTTTCTCTGCTTCTCTTCCAGCTGGCTGTAGCTTGTAAGTTTGATTAGTTGTGTCGCTGAATTCCTCGCGTAGTTTTCTATACGTAGCAGGTCCGTAAGTTAGTGAGTTAGTGAGTGAGTGAGTGAGTGAGTGAGTGAGTGTAGTGACACAGCCCCGCCCAGTAGCGCAATGGCGTAGGACACACTGACGCGAACGCTAGCACCGACCTGAAGTTTGGACCCGGTACGAGAGATAGAACGAGCTGTCTCGCTCTACGTGTGTGTCTTTCTCTTTCGCTCTCTCTCCGCTATCTCTCTCTCTCTCTGTGTCGTGTGTGTGTGTGTGTGTGTTGTTTTGTGCTGTGTGTTGTGTGCGCCGCGCAACGCGTGTGTTGTGTGTATGTGTTGTGGTACGTGTTGTGTGTGTGTGTGGTGTGTGTGTTGTGTGTGTGGTGTGTGTGCAGTGTAATGGGCGTGTGTTGTGCGTGTGGTGCTGTTTGTGTTGCTCTGCGTGCAAGAATATTAATTGGGTCGCCGAAATTTTTGCAAACAACACAGCTATCATTGAGAAATTTTCACCTTAAATAGTTTCTGTCTTATTAAAAAATGAGTCTTGGTCCTAAATTGTGCGACTAAACACTATACAGTAACACCATCAATTATAATGGTGGCATATATTGTTATTCGCTGAACACTTGTTAATTACTCTATTATGAAACGCTATGCTGCATGTTTGAATGTGGTGCGTATTCGGTATAATGTTGCCTGTCATTAAAATATATGCCCAGTGCTCTTATATAGTTGATTACGACAATCTATAGGTGTATAGCCGTGCTGCAGACCTAGAGAACGCAAAAAGCTTACTGCCGAACCCAAGTATATAATAGCATACTAATTAGTATAATGAGGTGTAATATATAGTACATATATAACGCCCCGATCGAATCGTTGGACATGCAGCTATCGCGTGCGCGTTTTTCTCCTGAGAGCTACACTATAGCTTTATTCAGGTACAAATTTATGTAGCTCTACTACCAGTTCAAGTAGCCTAATAAAAATACACACACCCACCACTACACATCACCACACACCATACACACACACACACACACAACACAACACGACACACAGACACCACACACACCACAACACACACACACACAGCACAGACACACACCACACAAGCACACACATCATATATATCAAATATATATATATATTATATATACGTGTGTTAGTGGCGTGTATGTTTTTTACGATCAGTCTAGCTGTGGCTCTCTAAACCCCCCCTCCCCCGGGCCAGGGTCGTAGCACCCCGTAAATAAATTACAGGTTGGATACCATTGTATGAGGTATGCCTCCATGCTCCATCCTCTCTCACAACGGCGCAGCCCACCTAGAATAATACCCATCAACATAATATAAGCATACATAAATCCCCCGAAATCGAGCGGAGGGAGCGTGCGTGTGGTCTGTCCCTGTATCTGTGTGTGTTAGTACAGGTTTAAGCGTGCAGTGAGCGGGATCGAGAAGTCTGTGTACGTGCTGGTAGTATGTAAGCGTATGATTTACAATAATAATGTTACATAAAAATTAGTTAGAGACAGCGAGTGCGGCTAACTGCGGGTTGTTTAGTGGTAGTGTAGATTTCAAGGGGGGACGTATAACAAAAAACCAGAAGACCTATCGCAGACGCACCTCGTGCATATACTTGACCAAGGGGGTGCAACACCTGTACACCGTGTTAAGAGGCCGAGGGGTGCAACGGACCAGGCACTTGAGGCACTGGGAAGAGCAATCTGCCTGGTCCTACTCACGCAGGCTCACTATAATACGCACATAAATCCAATGCTAAATCAGCTCAGGCTCGGACGCCCACGACCCGAAACAAAACAAAACGAACACGAACGAACGAACGAACGAACGAACGAACGAACGAACGAACGAACGAACGAACGAACGAACGAACAAACGAATGAACGAACGGACGAACGAACAAACGGACGAATGAGCGACTGAGGGAGAGAGAGTGCACACACACCATTTGTCGGCCCCTGCGAGCCGGACAACGCCCGAAAAGGTATACCTTATATAATTATACTAAGGAAGCTATAGCCTACACACGACAGGGAGATAAACTGCCAACCCACGAACTCGTGCCGAGCCGCGAAGCGCACGACTGGGAGAGACAGAGACGGCTACAATACTAACCCGTAGAATAGCTAAGAGAAGTTAAACGTGTAATCACCTAACGAGGTAACGTAAACGTAGCACGCGCAATATATATTATATATATATCTATACGCTATATTCAAGATACGTGCAGTGAGCGTTATTCATGTTATTTGTATATGATGAATAAAACCATCAGTTCTATAAAGACTATCTGAAGACTTGGGTTCATTTCACTTTGAGTTTTCCTGTTACTGCGCATGCATCACCGTCCTACCTTCGCGGTAGGAGCGAAAAATTATCCCGACGCAAATAAATTACACGTGCTAACCACAGCACGTGTGAAAGTCCAGTGTGGCCACCCCTAAGGCCACTACAGTAGTAGTGTAACGTATGATTTACATATGTTACATAAATTAGTTAGAGACGCGGAGTGCGGCTAGACTCGGGGTTATTTTAGTATGTAGACAGAGCGTCGCGCATCTTGTGCGGCTAGATTGATGTTATAAAGAGAATGGTAAACGTGTTTTAGGTCGGGCGCTTCTAGGGTCATTGTGAAATGGGGTAGAACGCGGTCTGGGAGAACGGGTGACATGTGCGCTGAGGATGTAGGGGTTTTGGGGGACATATATAGGAGGTTAGGATAGATCGATTGAGGGGAAGATGTAGGAGTGGGGGTCTGGTTGTGGTCGCGAGAGGAAGCGCACGCTTCAAATTAGGGAGAATGGTAGACGTGGTTGGATTAGACAGATTAGAGGGTCATTGTGAAATGGGGGGTAGGACGTAGTCTGTGAGAACGGGTACATGTGCGTGGTGCATATGTGGTTTGTAGGAGTTTTTGGTGAGAGGTAATATATAGAGAGAGATGTAAGGGGAGAGAGGATTCTGGTTCTGGTCGCGAGAGTACGCGCACGCGTGACCGCGCATGTGCGCGGGTCTTTGTCTGTGTGTAAGGAGATGTGATGTGTGTAAGATATTAAATATTATTCCGGTTACTACAACAAGTTTGAATTTATAGCATCATTCCTGTTTACACTGTCTCTCTCTCTCTCTCTCTCTCTCTCTCTCTCTCTCTCTCTCTCTCTCTCTCTCTCTCTCTACACCCATACACTGCACACATAGACACACGCACACACGTACACTCGAAACAGCGACCCACCACCACACACCTGCAACACCAGCATAGCTACTACTATATACGCCGCACCCACGCGGGTACTACAGCTGCTGTACGCGTTGACCTTATGTACACGTTCGAACGGCGACGATGTGTCTGGAAAATCGGCAGATAACGAATAAGCTCTCGGCTCAGCTCGCTGCTCTCTGCCGTGCACGCCGTATAAGGAATAATGGGCGGGGCTTACGGTCTCACAAAAATGCAGATTTACGAGGAAATTCAAGGGCGCAGCGTGCTAAATAGTACGTGATTTTTGGTAACGAGCCACTAGCTATCGATTAAGACAGTTCGCGAGTAGATTGATGCGGCAGAACGTTAGATCAGCGATTTCCCGTCGTTGCGGAATAGTTGTAAACTTGCGTGATGAGGGGCGGGGGGCGATGCCTGTTTAAGCGTGGCACTGCGTGCCAATCATCGGGCTGCGCCCTGGTTTCGACCACTCCGCGTCTCTAACTAATTTATGTAACATATGTAAATCATATGTTACAGTAGTGGTGGGTGGTAGCTGACACGATCGGAGCCTGATCAAAGGCGGGATTGAGTCACGGTATGTATAACTGATTGAATAATTTTAGTTAGTTAGTTTGTTAGTTAAGGATAATTGGGGGTGATATGCCTAGCCTAATATGCACCCATATCTTGCGATTTTGTGAATCGGTCGATGATTCTGGCCTTAAATACGTTAGTAGTGGCAGCTGCGACTGCACTTTGTGGGAGGTTATTCTAGGGTTTCA